CCACCGAAGGCCCCAGTGGCTGCTCTCGCATGCGGTTCCCCCATCCAGGGCAATGCTTCGTGGCCCCGTAGTGAGCTCCACCGAAGGCCCCAGGCGCAGTTCGCATGCGGGTCCCCCACCCAGGGCAGCGCTTCGTGGCCCCATGGGAAGCTCCACCGAAGGCCCCAGTGGCGCAGTTCGCAAACGGTTCCCCCACCCAGGGCAGCGCTTCGTGGCCCCATCGGGAGCCCCCCCGAAGGCCCCAGTCCCCAGTGGCTGCTCCCGCATGCGGTTCCCCCACCCAGGGCAGCGTTTCGTGGCCCCGTAGGGAACTCCACCGAAGGCCCCAGTGGCTGCTCTCGCATGCGGTTCCCCCACCCAGGGCAGCGTTTCGTGGCCCCATAAAAAGCTCCACCGAAGGCCCGCCCCAGTGGCTGCTCCCGCATGCGGTTCCCCCACCCAGGGCAGCGTATCGTGGCCCCATGGGGGGCCCCACGGAAAGTGGCACCCACAACACGTTACGAACAATTGCTTATGGTTGGGTCCTTCGCCAGAGTTATTCTGCCCCGGGGCCACCCGGAAAACCTTTGCCCCCCGACAGAGAGACACTGCAAACACTGAAGTAGCAATAGCCATCATAGTTGTAGTAGTATTACTAGTTGTTGTTTTGTAGATGGTGATGCAATAGTAGTAGCAGCGACAGTAATGGGCGAATCGCAGCGACATGACTTTACATAGAAAACAAACCCAGTTGCGCCAGATACCCCGCCGGTATCTGGCGCAACCGCGTCGTAGAAAAACATAGTTTCGGTGTTTGCGTTTCGTATGAAATCCGTCTTGTTTTAGTGTTTTGGCAAATGCGTTATGATCCCATGTTGTTCAGTCAGTAAAAATTGTTTAGTTTCCTTGAAAGGAACAAGCCCACTTGCACCAGATACCAAGTTTTTTTAATCATTCGTATCCACGCTAGTCTGTTACTCTGTTTTGCTTATATTGCAAATGTAGCTGCCGCGGGTAGGCCCAGGATCCGAATCTCCAGTTGTATTTTGTCGTACGCCATGGCGTACGACTTTACCTTCTTCGAAGTCGGGGCCGCGATGGGGCCCATGCCTAACCTGCCTCCTTCCATCGCTTGGAACAAATTAGGACAGCGTCGACAAGATCGTATTGCCAACGGCGAGGATTCTAGGAGTGTTGAATATAGACTACATCATGTTTTAACTTATCTTTTGATCGTATCCATACGTTTTAGCATTCTCCATCCCGGTAACCTAGAGGACAAGCTTTGGATCTCGTGCAATTTCCAGTGCGCATGGAAGAAGTGGAGCTTCCAGCGCTACGACGGTTATTTTGGATATCATCCGGAACCCTCCTAGGAGCTCTCGGGATCTTTCGGGATCTCCTGAGAGCCCCTGGCCCTCCCCCGCCCCCCCTCTCCCCCGGAAGCTCCCGAGGCCAAGGCCAGGAGTCTCGGGGCCGTCTTGGGCGTCGTGGAAATGTTTTGAGGAGAAGAGGATGAGGATATATGGAGGAGGACAGTGAGGAAGAGGGGAAAGAGGCAGAGGAAGAAGAGGAGATAATGGAAACATATGAGGATGATGAGGAGGAGGCGGAGGAGACATAGGAGGAGGAGGAAGTCACAGATAATGAGCATGATAAAGAAGAAGGGAAGGGTGAGGATATTGGCGGAAGAGCAAGAGATGTGAGACTATGAAAAATGGCAAGGGAGAAAAAGGGTCGTATGTGACCCGTTTCGTCCTTCCACACACACATATATATACACATAGATGTATAGACATCACCGCCTTCGGCCTTCGGAATCGTTGTTGGTTGCTTATTCGGGCCCAGTTCCCAGTCGTTTTGCGACGGTGGACCCCGAGGCCAGCCGAAAGCAGTCACAGGCAGTTGCTTCTCCTTTCCGCTTCCCTTGCCGCCGCTCCAGCTCTTGCTCCTCGGGTTACCTTTGGGTCATGCTCTTCTCGGGAGCAGTGCTGCAACGTGCGGGTGCGAATCGCACGAAAATGGTGCTGCTGGGGCGCTGTGAGCATGTCCTTCAAGCGCGACGCCGCTCTCCCACGGAAAGCGGGGATGCCGCGCCGAAGAGGCCTCGGCCCAGGGCGGGCGGCGGGCGGCGGGCGGCGCACGCGGGGGAGGGGGGGGCGCGGCCCCGTCCCGTGCGGGGCCCTTTTCGGACGGCTGCCCCCGCGCCGTCGACGTCGTGTCCGCTGCCGCCGACGTCGACGTCTCCATCGCCGCCGCCGTCGTCGATGTCGATGACGTCGCCGCGGCGGCGACGATCCCGACAGAGACGACGAGCACGACGGTGGCTGTCGGCAGCGACGACAACAACGACCGCGACGGGCTCGCCGCAGGGACGACGGCCGACGTCGGCGGCGACGACACCGACGTCGGTCGTCGTCATGGTGGTGGCGGGTCCGCTCGGGCGCGCGGGCCCCGTGCGCGACCCCCTTTGGCCCAGGGGGCCCCTGCCAGGGGACGCGGGGGGGCCTCGGCAGCCCGGGCTCGCGGCCCGCGGGGAGGCGGTTCGGCCCCGCCAGGGCCGCCCGGGAGGCCTCGGCCCCGTGGCGGCGGCGGCGGCGGCGGCGGCGGCCCGCGGGGGGCGCGGCCCCCGCGCAGCGAGGAGGCGGAGGAGGAGGAGGAGGAGGAGGAGGAGGAGGCGGAGGAGGAGGAGGAAGAGGAGGAGGAGGAGGAGGAGGAGGAGGAGGAGGAGGAGGAGGAGGAGGCGGGGGGGTCGGAGGAGGGGGGGAAGGAGGCGGAGGAGGAGGCCGAAGAGGAGGAGAGAAGCGAGGATGAGGAGGAGGAGGAGGAGGAGGAGGGGGGAGGAGGCGGAGGAGGCGGAGGCGGAGGAGGCGGGGGGGCCGACGACGGCCCGGATGGCGCTCTGGCGACGAGCGGCGACGGGCGGGGCCAGCCACGGGAGCTCGCGCGGGCCTGTCGCGGCGGGGGCCCGCGGCGGCTGCCCGCGCTCGGCTTGGTCAGGGCCGAGGAGGCGCCTGCCTCGCGCGGGGCGCTGGGGCTCGGGGCGCTGGGGCTCGTGCCGTGCCGGCACGGCAGCGGGCCCGCCCTTCTCCTCCTCCTCCTCCTCTCCTCCCTCCTCCTCCTCCTCCTCCTCCTCCTGCCCCTCCTCCTCCTCCCTCCTCCTGCCTCCTCCTCCTCCTCCTCCTGCTCCTCTTCCTCCTCCTCCTCCTCCTCCTCCTCCTCCTCCTCCTCCTTCCTGCTCCTCCTCCTCCTCCTCCTCCGCAGCGCAGGCGTTCAAGACTGAGCGCCGCAGTTGGCCCAGAACCCGGCAACGAAAGATTCTGCGCGAGAGCCGCCGATAGTCCAAGGCGTGAAACAAATTGGCGCTGGGGTCGTCACGACGCGAACCTGCCGTACCGAGGCCGCTGCCCCGCCCTCGTCGGTTGCGACTGGCGGGTCGGCAAAGCCAGCCGTCGACGAAACCAGCTGGCGGGTCGGCGAAACCAGCCAGGCGAAACCAGCGTCGGCGAAACCTAGCAGTCGCCGTCGCCACGGCCGGATTCGCCTCGAAATCTTGGCTTCGGAAGCCGAGAGTCGGAAAAGGAAGTCGAACAGACAGTTGCATAAGCATAAGTTCGCTGAGGTCCGTTCGGATTTCTTGTGTTGGCCTCTGGCGCCACCCCCGGCGCGCTCCACGCGCCTGGGATGGGGTCCAGAGCCGATCCAAGGAATCCGCGCGGACCTCCGAGAAGTTATGACTCTGCAGTATTTCGTTGCGGCCTGGGATGGGGTCCAGAGCCGATCCGAGGAATCCGCGCAGACCTCCGAGAAGTTATGATTATGCAGTATTTCGTTGCGGCCGCCCTCACCGAGGCAGGACCACCCCGGTCTCGTCGTTGGTGGTGCTACTCGGCCCTCGGGCTTCCCGGGTGGCCGGAAGACAGCCAAGAGCACCGACCTCTTGGATCAAGTCGGGCCTGTCCCCCTACAGGGGGAGGTTCGACGAATAATGAAACATGCCATCAAAATAGTAAAGCAAAAAAAAAAACTCCTGGGGACTGCTTTTTTAGTATTTTTTGACCTTTGTGGGGTATCGTTGGTGTATGTTATATTTTTCGTCGAAAATCCCCCTGTAGGGGGACACGCCCGACATAAATCTTGGAGCACCTCCCCCTGGCGGAGGCACCCCCCTGAGTTGGTGAGGGTGCCATTTTCGAGGCCCCCAGTGGTCAGATCGCGCCCCACGAGAGGTCCAGGGATCCGCGGGCGACGTGTGTGCACCGTAAGGCGTTGGCCTCTCCCGAGGCCCGGTCGATCTTCGACCCAGGAACGGTGCGCTGCAGAGTTCTGCGGCCCGTGCGGAGCCGAAAAATGATGCACCGTGCGGCGTCGGAGTGGGTCCTAAAGGGAGTCCAAGCGTGGTGCGGTGCACGGGCGCCGTTTTCGTGGGGGGGCCCGTTTTTGCCCCCCCGCCGCCCTGGCCGGGTGCCACCCGCAGGGCCGCCCCTCCCTCAACCCCAGCTCTCGGGAGTGGCTCAAAGTGCCCCTGGCCTAAGTCGAGGGAGAAACAGACACCCGGACCAGACAATTGGCGTGTATTACACGGCCTTGGGCGTTTCCCAAACAGCCCTGCCTTGTTCGATTCCTCCAGCGAGGGCGTTTAGTAAACGGCTTCGCGTGTCAGGGTGGTTATTCAGGGGGTGGATTTTTCGCCCTCCACCAAGGGACCCAAAGAGCAGCCTTGCGCTCCAGACTGGAGCCCCTGGGGCCCTGTGGGCCTCGCGAGTGGTGCTCTGGAGGCCGCGGGGCCCGCCCTAGAATAGGTCGGGAGTCTCTGGAAGAAGCCGATAAGATAGGCACGAATTGTCAAACAAATAGTCAGAAGAGCGCGAAGAATCGCCCCCAGACTATTTTCTTCACTGTTCTTGGAGATTCCTTCTGTAGAGGGACATGCCCGACGGAACCTTAGAAATCTTGGGGAGCATCTTGGGCCTGGGGCACTTCAAGCAACACCTGAGCCCCCACCCCCGCCCCGCGGCGAG